ATAAAAAAGGCCTACCTGATTACTTCTTATCCCTTGCGCAAATAGCCTACATCTGTGTCTGTCTGTCTGGAGCTCACTGGTGGGAAACTCTGAGGGCCCAGAATATTTTATACAATGTTTATACAATGTTTCAAGTTTGCTAGTGCAAGCTTCAGGCCAGACCCAAGTTAGTTGATACAATGTTTCAAGTTCCTTGCAGACCGGCCACGCATATTTATCAGGATATTTTCTACCTGCGGGCTGCAATGTTTTTATTTGTTGGCTTTATGTAGGCTATTTTTATATTTTGGCAATGGAAGTTACTTTTAGATGGATAATTTTCATTTAGATAGAATTTTGATAAACCACATTTGATTTTGAGATATGAAGACTATTATAAATTAAATTAATCTGTTCCAAGAAAATTTGCATATGAAAATCATAACTGGCATACAGATCCGTAGAAATGGTACAATAACTTGGCACTCCAAATGGAAAAGGTTGCCGACCGCTGGTGGACCGTATTACCGGCAACATCAGGAGTTTAATGGCACAATGATCGATGCTTGACTGCCGTTTGACTGCCACAATGTATCTGCGAGTTGTTGGCTAGAGTGGACGGGCCAAGACCAGACTAGGCACATTTGCTATTTAATACAACAGTTTTTGTGACTATCGGTAGAGTTGAAAATGCAATGGAAACACATTGAACATACCATTTTTTACTCGGTACATGAACACTTAAGCAAAAAAGTACTTTGTGTGCACTACGTCATCACACACAGATTTTTATCTGCAACAAGTCAGTTTGGTGGAAACACACCTGGCACTCTGCATTAATTTGACTTGCGCCATAACAATTAAATATACATAGCACTACATTCACATTATCTGCCTGTAGTTATTGAACTCAACCTGCAGGAGGTTTGTTCGTTGTGATTGAGTGGGGGGAAACAGCTGCGGGGAAGGTTCTGACAGATGGGTGTGTCTTGGTGGTTGCAAGGACACGCCCAAGAAACCCACATCAAACCACACCCCCAAGCCAACTCACATTTGGCTTCTGTCATTTGGCCCCAGCATTTCTTGAGAAGCAAGCCAAAACACGAGGCCAAATCAGCGGGTGCAGTTTTCCGCATCTTATTGTGCTGTGCAGTGGTAGCCTAGTGGTTAAGAGCGTTGGGCTAGTAACCGAAAGGTTGCTGATTTGAATTCCTGAGCCGACGTGGTCAAAAATCTGTCGGTGCCCTTGAGCAAAGCACTTAACCTTAATTGCTCCTGTAAGTTGCTCTGAATAGGAGTGTCTTCTAAATGACACACGTAAAAATAAGAGCATTGAACCAATCAAGTACTTAAAGGAATAAATGGATGACATTGGGGCTGCAGAATACCCTGAGCATGTCCTTGTGACAAAATTGATAAAGAAGATACAAATAAAGCAGAATGGAACAAAGCCAGTCCTTAGCTCAATTAAACACTGATTTCACAAATAACACAAGGGCTTCTCTAGAAAACCTCTATCATTTCAGTCAACAAACCATTCCTTTTTTGCAAAGCCAAGTAGCCTTTGAAATGGAATCCTGGTCAGTAAAGTGTCTGTTTTAAAATGTCAGGGCACCACTCTTATTTCCTCCCTGTTTCCTTTAGTGGACCGAGTGTGTGAAAATGACAGTAGGTTAATGGCCTTCTTGTTTTATGTTCCCATAGAGCTTTGGCCTTTTTATTCCACTTTGTCCACAGTTCTGTTCTTATGGCCACTCACTTTCCCCCAGCCGTGACGACTCAAAGTGTTTGATGGATGGCAGCTCTGCTCAAAGGCTGCAAATAGATCTTGGAGCTGGACTGAAGTTGATCAAAGTTTCTCTTGACTTGTACAGAGTTATTTCTCACCCAGATCTTTCTTGGTGGTGGTGGTCCCGTGTTTTCTGGGAAAAGACTGGGCGAGTTCGCTTTGCATGGTCTGGTGCCCCAGGCAGGTGGAGACCTCTCCTTAGGAGGACCAATGGAATGGCTGAAAATGAGTAAACTCCGCCCACCCAGCACACCGGGCCATGCAAAACGAATTCCCCAGACAAGCCATCAAACAAAGCCGAGCTGCTTGAAGTTTTGCGCCAGGAGTGGCATAAAGTCACCCAACATCAATGTGAAAGACTGGTGGAGAGCATGCCAAGACGCATGAAAGCTGTGATTGAAAATCAGGGTTATTCCACCAAATATTGATTTCTGAACTCTTCCTTAGTTAAAACATTAGTATTGTGTTGTTTAAAAATGAACATGAACTTATTTTCTTTGCATTATTCGAGGTCTAACAACACTGCATCTTTTTTGTTATTTTGAACAGTTGTCATTTTCTGCAAATAAATGCTCTAAATGACAATATTTTTATTTGGAATTTGGGAGAAATGTTGTCAGTAGTTTATAGAATAAAACAAAAAATTTAATTTCACCCAAACACATACCTATAAATAGTAAAACCAGAGAAACGTATATTTTTGCAGTGGTCTCTTAATTTTTCCCAGAGCTGTATATACACACACATTGAGTGCACAAAACATTAGGAACCCCTTTCTAATATTGAGTTGCACCCCTTTTGCCCTCAGAACAGCCTCAATTCGTTGGGCATGGACTCTACAAGGATTCGAAAGCGTTCCACAGGGATGCTGGCCCACAGTTGTGTCAAGTTGACTGGATGTCCTTTGGGTGGTGGACCCTTCTTGATACAAACGGGAAACTGTTGAGCGTGAGAAACCCAGCAGCGTTGCAGTTCTTGCCACAAACTGTTGCGCCAGGCACCTACTACCATACACTAAATATTTTGTCTTGCCCATTCACCCTCTGAATGGCACACATACACATTCCATGTCTCAAGGCTTAAAAATCCTTCTTTAACCTGTCTCCTCCCCTTCATCTACATTGATTGAAGTGGATTTAACAAGTGACAGCAATAAAGGATCATATCTTTCACCTGGATTCTCCTGGTCAGTCTAAGTGTATTTGAGTATTTGTTATTTAAATACTTATTTTCTCTGTATTTGAGTATTTTCAAATAATGTGGCCCGGGCCAGCCGAATCAACTACTTCTACAAAATAATTTCCTATAAATAGCCTACTATTTTAAACTATTTTCAAATACTTATTTCAAATACTTATTTCAAATACTATTTTCAAATACCTAGGTTAAATGCAAATGAGTATTTGAGTCAGTGTATTTGAGTATTTTCAAATACTTTCCAAGTGCATTTCCAAATACATTCATATACTCAACTACTTGTCTTCTCAAATAAAAAACATATCTAAATACCTACTTCCAAATGTCTTTGAAAGTAATTGAAATACCCCAAATAGTATTTGAACTCAGGTCTGCTAAAACACTCACAAACACACACATCATGTATGCTGAACTTGTGCCAATGTCTGCCCTCTCAGTCTCACCTGACAGGTTGGGGCTAGCCATGATGCCTGTACAGCCATTGAACATGACAGCAAACACAGTAGAAAAGGTCATCATGGTGCCTGTGGTGTAGTCAGCTGGGAGAGGAGAAGATATAAGATCATAGAATATATTAGTATTTATCAAGACAACCTCCAAAGCAAAGATATTGCTGATTTGGATTTCTGAACTATTATTGCTGTGTTTACACAGGCAGCCCAATTCGGGGGAACTTTCAGCAGGGTTGAACAATTTGGAACATTCAGATAGAAATAGGCTATGTAGATCAAACATGCCTCATATGTAGAATAAGGAATCACGTCAGCTCTATTCATGCCATTTCTATCTGCAATGTTCAAGAATGATTGGCAACTGAACATTGCCCTGATCGTTTTCCAATAATTGGTCTTTTGACTAATCATATCAACTCTTGACCAATCAGATCAACCCATTTGCCAATAATTGGGCAAAAGATCAGAACAGGGCTGCCTGTGTAAACGAAGAATATAGGACTACAGGACTACGGTGAATACCAAACCAGCCCCTGCCAACTCATTTGGAGGGCCCTCCGTTGTCACGTGTTGCTGACGAAACGCCGAAGGTGATTTCCATCGAGTGGCGAGGGGATCAACAAACCCCGGGACACACTTGTGACTTGAATGATGCAATTCATGTTCGACATTTTAATAATACAATTCTAATTCAAATTAACAATTTCCCGCTGTCATTTTACAAGATATAAACCTCATTAACAGTTAAACATTATTTGGGAGGTATTTAATTTGTTAAATATAAATAATATAATATGCCATTTAGCAGACGCTTTTATCCAAAGCGACTTACAGTCATGTGTGCATACATTTTTACATATGGGTGGTCCCGGGGATCGAACCCACTACCCTGGCGTTACAAGCGCCATGCTCTACCAATTGAGCTACACCTCTCAATTATTTTGTATGAAATTGCACAAACTCCAAACATATTGCAATGCGTGTTGGGATAGCACTTCGCTCTGGAGCCTGCAGCCTTGCTGGCTTGTTCGAAGTGGCTATCAGAGGGTCTAATTAGCTCCTACACCCTCGATAATTTGGGTAACGTGTGCTTATGGCGGAGGGCCGAGGGGAAGGGGTGGTTTTGGGATTCAGCCCTAGTGAAAATGGCATTTAGGTACATTTTACATTTACATTTTAGTCATTTAGCAGACGCTCTTATCCAGAGCGACTTACAGTTAGTGAATACATATTTTTTTATTTTTTTATACTGGCCCCCCGTGGGAATTGAACCCACAACCCTGGCGTTCCAAACGCCATGCTCTATCAACTGAGCTACATCCCTGCCGGCCATTCCCTCCCCTACCCTGGACGACGCTGGGCCAATTGTGCGCCGCCCATGAGTCTCCCGGTCGCGGCCGGCTGCGACAGAGCCTGGATTCGAACCAGGATCTCTAGTGGCACAGTTAGCACTGCGATGCAGTGCCTTAGACCACTGCGCCACTCAGGAGTTTTGATGGATGATCAAAAGATGTCCACCAGACCTCTACAAAGCCCAACCCCTGACATGCCACCACACACCAACAAAACATATTATACCCACCCTACAGGTTGCCCCTCAGGGTTGCCAGGCGACGGCCAGTGAAGTTGGCAGTGCCCAGGCCGGTGGTGGCGTTAGAGTTGGCACCAGGAGCGTTGGGCAGCGTGACGTCCCGCAGGCCCACAGCAAAGAAACTGAGGAAGATGGTGGCCAGGACCACCATGATGATGATGAAAATGAGGAAGGTGGGCTTGGCATAGATGTGGGCGCCAATCTGAAATGACAGTATATGTAGATGTCATCATGCATAGTTTGCAAACAAAATGTATTACCTTATATAGGAAATAGGGTATTATGCATCCCTAGGAAGTGTCCCACCAGAACCCTGCTGGTGATGGCACTGACAGACAGAACAGTCATACTGATGAGGTATGCCACTATGAACATGGCTATGGACTGGTACAGCCCACACTGGCCCACCATGAACGCTACACAAACAGGCCGGAGAAAATAGTCAAATAGGTGTGTGTGTATGCCTGCGTGTAAAGTCCCCCATATTCACCAATTTGGAGGTAGTCAACAACGCCAAACATTGACAGTAATGTTGGAATTACCACGCCAAAAAAAGTCGACAACTTCTTGTGCGGTGTGGCCTTCCTACATCGACATACCACTGGCAAATTCTCCACCATGACCCCGGAGAGGCTGGAGGCATTCTGCGAATCATCGTTGGCGGAGAGTCAGTAGTGCAACGACATGGCTATCGTTGGGTAATAACAACTCCCCTTGTTAGAAAGGTTGCTTTTTCACTCATGAGCTCCCACTCTTTCATCTCATCACCCCTCGCCGAAAGCCGAGTAGTTGGCTTTTAAATCAAAGCCCTAGAAACTAAACTCAAGTTTGAGCTATTTTTAATGTGTAGACCAAGTCATAAGTTTGAGATTTATTTCTGAGTAGTTAACATTTACATTTAAGTCATTTAGCAGACGCTCTTATCCAGAGCGACTTACAGTTAGTGAATACATTTTTTTTTTTATACTGGCCCACCGTGGGAATCGAACCCACAACCCTGGCGTTGCAAACGCCATGCTCTATCAACTGAGCTACATCCCTGCCGGCCATTCCCTCCCCTACCCTGGACGACGCTGGGCCAATTGTGCGCCGCCCATGAGTCTCCCGGTCGCGGCCGGCTGCGACAGAGCCTGGATTCGAACCAGGATCTCTAGTGGCACAGTTTGCACTGTGATGCAGTGCCTTAGACCACTGCGCCACTCAACCTCTACCTGTATTTTAGGTCAATTGGAGCGTCACTACATTGTATACGTCAATCTTTCCTCCAAGTTTTATTGGCGAATCACAACCAACTGACAGGTGCATACACCACCACCTACTGTACTGGAGTGTGAGGCCAGTCACAACCTACTGTATACCACTATATTCTTTTAACTAACCCTGCATTTCTAATCAAATAAAATAATTCCCTACAAACCTCACTACTTCCATCACCCCCACCCAAAATACCACCCACTCCCCATTCCCATCCAACCTCTCTGACCCTGTCAAACAACCTCCCCCTTTCTACATAATACATTTCACAAAATAATAATGCATGGTTCAAGCGTTATCTCTACCATACAGCCAGTACACATTCCAGTACCATGTTTCCCTATCAATTTCAAAGATGAATTCAATCCTGTATGCTCTAATCTCATCCTACACAACATAACCTCCTCCCTTCTGTTCCCATTATATGACACTATCTCCCGTACAGATGTCCTATAAAAATGTCTGCCCGTACTACTTTCATCCCATTGTCTCTGCCAGCAAACTAACCAATTTTTCAAAATCAATGTTTTAATTTCCCCTCTACCCAACTGCACCTGTATATCCACAATATTATTTTTCACTGCTCTTTATGTTATTATATCTACTATATCATTTCTATAAACACCTGTATGATCCTCAACTTGGGGGCCCCTCAGGGGTGTGTGCTTAGTCCCCTCCTGTATTCCCTGTTTATCCATGACTGCGTGGCCAAGCACGACTCCAACACCATCATTAAGTTTGCTGTCGACACAACGGTGGTAGGCCTGAGCACCGACAACGACGAGACAGCCTATAGGGAGGAGGTCAGAGACCTGGCAGTGTGGTGCCAGGACAACAACCTCTCCCTCAACGTGAGCAAGACAAAAGAGCTGATCATGGACTACAGGAAAAGGAGGGCCGAACACGCCCCCATTCACATAGTCAGGGCTGTAGTGGAGCAGGTCGAGAGCTTCAAGTTCCTCGGTGTCCACATCACCAATAAACTATCATGGTCCAAATACACCAAGACAGTCGTGAAGAAGGCACGACAACGCCTATTCCCCCTCAGGAGACTGAAAAGATTGGCATGGGTCCCCAGATCCTCAAAAGGTTCTACAGCTGCACCATCGAGAGCATCCTGACCGGTTGCATCACCGCCTGTTATGACAACTGCTCAGCATCCTACCGTAAGGCGCTACAGAGGGTAGTGCGTACGGCCCAGTACATCACTGGGGCCAAGTGTGTATGGAAAAAAGTATTTAGTCAGCCACCAATTGTGCAAGAAAATCACATTGTAGGATTTTTAATGAATTTATTTGCAAATTATGGTGGAAAATAAGTATTTGGTCACTTACAAACAAGCAAGATTTCTGGCTCTCACAGACCTGTAACTTCTTCTTTAAGAGGCTCCTCTGTCCTCCACTCGTTACCTGTATTAATGGCACCTGTTTGAACTTGTTATCAGTATAAAAGACACCTGTCCACAACCTCAAACAGTCACACTCCAAACTCCACTATGGCCAAGACCAAAGAGCTGTCAAAGGACACCAGAAACAAAATTGTAGACCTGCACCAGGCTGGGAAGACTGAATCTGCAATAGGTAAGCAGCTTGGTTTGAAGAAATCAACTGTGGGAGCAATTATTAGGAAATGGAAGACATACAAGACCACTGATAATCTCCCTCGATCTGGGGCTCCACGCAAGATCTCACCCCGTGGGGTCAAAATGATCACAAGAACGGTGAGCAAAAATCCCAGAACCACACGGGGGGACCTAGTGAATGACCTGCAGAGAGCTGGGACCAAAGTAACAAAGCCTACCATCAGTAACACACTACGCCGCCAGGGACTCAAATCCTGCAGTGCCAGACGTGTCCCCCTGCTTAAGCCAGTACATGTCCAGGCCCGTCTGAAGTTTGCTAGAGTGCATTTGGATGATCCAGAAGAGGATTGGGAGAATGTCATATGGTCAGATGAAACCAAAATATCACTTTTTGGTAAAAACTCAACTCGTCGTGTTTGGAGGACAAAGAATGCTGAGTTGCATCCAAAGAACACCATACCTACTGTGAAGCATGGGGGTGGAAACATCATGCTTTGGGGCTGTTTTTCTGCAAAGGGACCAGGACGACTGATCTGTGTAAAGGAAAGAATGAATGGGGTCATGTATCGTGAGATTTTGAGTGAAAACCTCCTTCCATCAGCAAGGGCATTGAAGATGAAACGTGGCTGGGTCTTTCAGCATGACAATGATCCCAAACACACCGCCCGGGCAACGAAGGAGTGGCTTCGTAAGAAGTATTTCAAGGTCCTGGAGTGGCCTAGCCAGTCTCCAGATCTCAACCCCATAGAAAATCTTTGGAGGGAGTTGAAAGTCCGTGTTGCCCAGTGACAGCCCCAAAACATCACTGCTCTAGAGGAGATCTGCATGGAGGAATGGGCCAAAATACCAGCAACAGTGTGTGAAAACCTTGTGAAGACTTACAGAAAACGTTTGACCTGTGTCATTGCCAACAAAGGGTATATAACAAAATATTGAGAAACTTTTGTTATTGACCAAATACTTATTTTCCACCATAATTTGCAAATAAATTCATTAAAAGTCCTACAATGTGATTTTCTGGATTTTTTTTCCTCAATTGTACCGGTGTACCTATGATGGAAATTACAGGCCTCTCTCATCTTTTTAAGTGGGAGAACTTGCACAATTGGTGGCTGACTAAATACTTTTCCCCCCCCACTGTATATATATAAACATGGGGGATTGGAAGTGATGCAGACAATTACATTGATGGAAGTTACAATCTATCTGCAATATTAAGCTGATCTACCCCCTAAAAAAAAAGTTTCAAAAAAAATGTAATACAAAAAATGGCCACCCGGACTGTTTGCATTGACCCCAATTTGATGAGCCGGAATCCAACAGAACTGAATTTCAATACCATTTCTTTGTAACCCCAACAACAGCGTCATTATTTGCAACCATAAATCCTCACGTTCTGACTTTCCAGATCTTTAACTACACAAAACTGATGCAGAGTCCGAAACATTACTACTCTTCTTGGTTGCACCTCCTCTGTCCATTGCAATCCAACAATTATCGCAACCATTTCTGTTGAATATACAGATAAATCATTTGTTAGTCTGTTGCACAGATTAACATCGAACTCAGGAATAAATCCACCTGCTCCTGTCTTCCAGTTCATGGGATCCTTGGAACCATCTGTATACACTGCTAGATAAGAATAAAACCGATTACTAATATATTGATCCATTATTCCTACATTTTCTTCTACATAACACTGTTTCTTTTCTTCTATCAGGCTAAGATCTACATGTGGTCTTGTATAAAACCACAATGGCACATTTCCTATTGCCACAGATGGCCCTATAACAATATCCATATTCATCAACCCTTTTTCCAATCTCTGGGCCAAAACCCCTCTTTTGATATTGTGGTCCTCTGTAGCTCAGCTGGTAGAGCACGGCGCTTGTAATGCCAAGGTAGTGGGTTCGATCCCCGGGACCACCCATACACAAAAATTTATGCACGCATGACTGTAAGTCGCTTTGGATAAAAGCGTCTGCTAAATGGCATATTAGTATTATTATTCATATTCCCAGCAGTCTTCCAATACTGTCAGTGTAGGATGATCTACTGTACTACCCTTCAGTCTTGCCCAGTATGCCAGGGCTTGCTTAACTCTTCTAAGGGATAGTGGCATTTTCCCAGTATCTACTTGTAAAACCTCAACCAGTGTAGTTTTCAATGCACCATCGCACATCCTGAGTGCCCTAGCTTGCATCCTATCATGGCACAACAGTGATGTAAAAGCCACAGAACCATCTACAAAGCACCCATAATCTATGGACGATCTCATCAAAGTACGATAAATATTCAGTAAAGATTGCCTATCTGCCCCCCAATCATGCCCAACTATTGTCCTCATAAGATGTAATACTAATACTTTCTTACATTTTGTCTCAATACATGTAATATGATGTCTCCAGCTTTTCATCAAACCAAATACTTAAATTCTCTTACCCTTTCCATTCGTTCTCCATATAATTGAATACTGACAATCTTTCTGTTAGCTAAAAACATATGGCAAGATTTTGATAAAGATAACTTGAAACCCCATGATAAGAACCATTCCTCTACTCCTACAACAGCACCTTGCATTTTCTTGAATACATAAGGAATATTCCTTCCCCTTTTCCAAATGACACAATCATCTGCATATAATGCCGCCCCTGTACCCTGTCCAATATCCCCATTCATCAACATCAATAAGATAGGACAAATAGCACTAACCTGTTGAGTTCCATTTTCCACCTCATATTCTCTTGATAACTCCAATCCCACCCTGACCTGGAAGGTTCGGTCAAACAAGAAATCCATAATCCAGTT